TTAATGAATGTTGAAACCGTAGTGAAATACAATGGTAAAGCTGGATAACATTATTTAAATATATTGTTTATAAAACCGTGAATATAGAACTCAGTCAACAGGATGGCTCGAAATACTAGGATGCATTGGTGGTTGGAACTCCAAAACCCGTTCCTGCAACGACTTATTGCTTCTGGTTTTCAATTAGAGAACAAAACCTCCTCGAACTCCTCGGACTGTGATAAGACCCAGCTGATAAGAAGAAGCTCACATCTAACAATTCCATCTTCTTCATTCTCAAAACAATGAGAGAGGAATTTCTCGCACAGCAATAGAATTTGATCATCTTCATACTTTTTAGCAAAATAGAACAGGATTCTCAAATTTTTTTCTGAATATCTCATTATATTTGATAAAAGAATTCTTAAAAATTTTCCAACCTAATTCCAACTCCATCTAGTTTTCCCATGAGAATCTATATATTGACACTTGTGATCTTTATTGAAATCCCTATCCATGATTTGATTATCATCATTCGACAAGAACCATCAAAATTCTTACAAGTGTTTAACTCGGATAAAACATGATTAGGATGACTTTGAATAAAGGGAGAATAAACTACTGTCTCAAAGCAGACGCGTAGGGCTAGATTGACGGGCGAGAGTGACGCTTCTGAGAGTGAGCAGAAACGCAGGGGAAGGAGAGAAACTCATCATTGCACTCCTCAAATTTTTATGAATAGAAAAGAGTTTTCATTCTCTTTCGTAGTTTATCCATATTCATCATTGTTTTTCATCCTTATTTTTCGTTTGTTAACAACTTCTCCGTATCTTCTTGTCTATCGTTAGCTGCTAAGTTTACACATTTCATCATCTCTCTGGTTTCAGAGATGACCATAATCGTAGTTCGTTTGATTGGTGAAAGCGAAGATCTCTTGTTTAGAACGATTGATATAAATAACGAGGTATATTATAATTTTTCCTATGTTAATTGATATATATTTCCTTAGATTCTGTACAGTGGACTGCTCAAGAGGATTGAAGCCGTGACCGCTATTCGAGCCGAATTTCAAGAACTGCAGTTCCGAGGTGAAGTTCTTCCTATTGTTGAACAGCCTCTTTTAACCATCAAGTTTGGTGAAGAAGTAATTGTGGTAAGTGTTACATTGCTCTCCAGATATGATTTTTCAAAAATGAATAGATACTATTCCTTTCAGAAGCACTCACAACTACCAGTGTGGGAGCAGTACAAGCAGAATGTACTCATAGCTCTGAAGCCGGGTCGTGAACGACAAAACAGTGCCATAGAGGCCGTTCGGATACACAAGCGACTGATGGAGATAGACTTTTTCTTAGCCTACCCCAGCTTCAACTCATTTCGGTTAGACAATCATCATATGATAGCTTCGTGGACCGATGGCAATATTCGACTGATGAAGGAAGCAACTAAGAGCCACTTCCTCCAACAGCACTACAAAAATGGTGCTCATGATGAGACGACCTTCACCTGCCGTTTTGAAGCTCGTCCGTACGAACTTGGTGGATCCCGCAAGAATACGCTTGCCTTCATTCAACTATATGGACAAAAAAAAGAAACTAAATATA